ACACACACACACACACACACACACACACACACACACACACACACACATTTATTTGTTTTTTCCCCCCAGTACATTCTGAACGACAGGATCTCATACCCAGATGAAACCTTCATGGACATGGAGTTCAAGATATCAGTCATGTATGACATAGCAAAGGTATGGATTGTTTTTGTTACCAAAGGTTTTTTTTGTGTGGGTATGTAATTTATCACACTTTATCAAATAGTAACAATATGAATTCCACATCATTTTCTATCACTCAATGATTCATTTTCCTTCAGTGATATTTATTCAAATTGGGCAGCATTTTCCTAATGGACATGGCCATCATTTGTTGAATGTGTTTCAAAGATTTTCAGTTTGCTCAGTGTATTTTACTTAACCTCACTCACAATGCATTTCAAAGAGAGCAGGGGATATTATTCACAACAACTCTGCATAACCATCCTGGTCACTACTGTCCTTCGTGTATATACAGGGCATGTCATATCTCCACTCCAGTAACATTGAGGTCCACGGTCGCCTCAAGTCCACCAACTGTGTGGTCGACAACCGCATGGTGGTCAAGATCACTGACTTTGGCTGTCACACCATCCTGAGTCCAGGCAGAGGTGAGTTTTTAATCATCACGAAGGTCGATTTTTTAACTAAACACTGAGAATAGAGTCATCCTCTCCTCTCCTCTCCTCTCCTCTCCTCTCCTCTCCTCCCCTCTCCTCTCCTCTCCTCTCCACTCAGACGTGTGGATGGCCCCGGAGCATCTTCGTAAAGATGGGGTGTCTCAAAAAGGCGATGTCTACAGCTATGCCATCATTGCTCATGAGATCGTTATGAGGCGGAGCCCGTTCTATACACAGTACTGCTCTGATCCTGCAGGTAGGCCTGGATAAATTTGCACATCATTAAACTGCGATAAACAACAAAACAAAACTTGTTTACAGACCTGCTCGCATTGATTATCTTAATGTCATCGCATCCCTCAGAGAAGATCTACAGAGTGCATTATCCCAGTGAGATGGGCGTCTTCAGACCTGACCTCAACTTTGATGGTGCTTCCGAAAGAGAGGTCGAGGTAAGAGAGCAACCAAACACAAACGTTTGCTGTCACAGTAACACACTCTGAGCATGGTGGTTTGTAAAATAAAGCTGCTTGGACTCATCAAAGTAAGACAAAGAAAGCCTCCCTCTTTTTCTCTCTTTGTCTGTGTGTGTTTGCGTGTATACAGCTGTTCATGCTGATAAAAAACAGCTGGGATGAAGACCCAGAAAGAAGGCCAGATTTTAAGAGAATAGAGTTAAATCTGGGTAAGATTTTCAGGTACGTTAACACGACACATTCATTCAGGCAGACTTTCAATTATTTCACTAATACACTTCATGGCCAAATATAGGTGGACACATGAAAAAAATATGTGGACACCAAAACATCACACCCATACGTGTAGTTCAGGCCAGTCAAGTTACCCTGAAAAAAGAATAATTTTGTCTACATTTGTCATTTTGGGCGATACAAATACTGTACTCGACTGAACTGGTGTAAGATTTCACTGTATGCTGTGGCATTAAGGTTTGCAATAATTGGAACCAAAGTGCCAAAACTATGAAAACCGGGAATGTCGACACAATTATGGCCTGATTGTGTATGTAATCCTGTTCATTGAGATCGTTCCTGCTGCACTAAATTCTTATATTATGATTAACTCGTTAATTTACACAAACAGTCTTTGTAATCTTGTATATATTTTTCCTTTGACACAGTAACCTGCACAACCAAGCCAGTGAGACATACATGGACAACCTGATCCGTCGCCTGCAGATGTACTCCAGGACTCTGGAGCATCTGGTGGAGGAGAGAACCTCTTTGTACAAAGCTGAGCGGGACAGAGCTGACCGCCTCAACTTTATGCTACTTCCTGGGTACGTTTGTGCTGTATCTGCTGATGTGTTACAGAGGATGGCTGAAAACATGCTGCACTGAGCTTTTTTTATCTGTATTTTACAAAGGATCAAATATTTATTGTGGGCCCAAACTGACAAAACAACAAACAAATATCACCTACCTCTTGATTTTGGTATTATGGCCCACAAAAACTAAATGTTACGTCAACTTCTGTTCCCTCAAGGAGAGGAACAAGGTACATGTGCTCTACCTGCACAGCACCAAACAGTAAACGCTGACAACTAGCCAGTTAACTCAGTGGAGCATGAAGCAGCTAAAGATATGTGCTTTAGGAGTTGGCGGAGACAAAAACAAAACTTTACTTAGTGCGAATTTTGGACTTAAATTTGTCCTTTCACTTGAAACATAAATGTAAATGAATGCTCATGTTGCTCATTGTCGGCTGGATGTGTAAATAGGCTAACATGCTCGCTCAAAAGATATTTTATTAGCTTTGTATTTAAGAATTTTTCATTCATCTCCTTTTCTTTCTCTATTTTATTTGTATTTTCTCTATTGTGTATGTTTATCACGTTTCATAGATCCTGGAAGCAGGAGACTTTTTGAAAGGGGATGTTTAGAAATGCTTCCAGTTTTTCAAGCAAAAATACACAATATACTTATTTTTGCTGTGATTAAAAACTTTTACTTTCCTCATTTTCGTTCCCCTTTTGGTGATAATAGTTTTTGTCTTTCCCGCCTGCAGAGGCAACGAGATGACCTACTGCTCAAGGCAAAGCGTATTTTGCATGTACATGACATATTCCCTGAGCTAAATTGTAACTGACAGCAATTTAAATTTCATTAGAAGCCATCAATTAACATCAGTGTTTTTCACTCTCCCTGTGTCTCCTCAGCCCAGTGGTGCGTTCACTGAAGGAGACGGGCAAAGTGGAACCGGAGCTGTTTGAGGAGGTGTCCATCTATTTCAGCGACATTGTGGGATTCACCACCCTCTGCCACTACAGCACCCCCATGGAGGTGGTGGACATGCTCAACGACATCTACAAGAACTTTGACAGCATCCTTGACCACCATGATGTCTACAAGGTACTGTGACAGTCTGAATTCATTTGGACTTATTCAACAATAATCTAAAACTTGGAGGTAGTTCATGTTAGAGTTGTTTTCATGTTTACGGAATACAGATGATTTAGAAAAATGTATTAATAAAGCTATTCATCTTTTGTCTTCTCAGGTTGAAACAATAGGAGATGCGTACATGGTTGCATCAGGTTTGCCCAACCGCAATGGCGACAGGCATGCAGTGGATATTGCCCACATGGCCCTGGACATCCTGGCATTTGTAGGGACTTTTGAGTTGCAGCACCTGCCCGGCATCCCTCTGTGGATTCGGATTGGTGTGCATTCAGGTAACAGAGAGTCATGATATTGTCTTATTTAATGCTTATTCTTGCCAATAAACTTCCCTGAAAGGAATATTGTGTAAGATTCAGGTAGATTAATTGGCACAAATGAAATGTAATATGCAAAACTGTGTTTTCATTAGTGTATAATTACCTGAAACTGGAATCGTTATGTTTTATTCATCTTACAAAAAGCCATTTATATCTACAAAGAGTCCGTCATGTTGCACCGCATTTACAGAGATGATTCAAACGTTTAAACAAATACCCAAATGGAGTAGATTATTTAAACAGGAGTTAATCAAATATTATAAAAGACTACATTCTATTACTACTTTAAAAATGTTCAACTCCCTTTTTTAGTTTTGGTCCAACCATATTATTCCCCATTTCCACCCCACAACATTCTCTTAAATAAGAACAACTTGTCTACACGGCCGTGGGAAAGACTTAGAACACCTAAGTCAGTAATTAAAAGGAGTGTGTAAATAGTAAGTTATGGATGTGAAAGTAATTTAAAAACACAGTTGGTGGCAATAACCCACTGTTACAATGCCAACAATTTAACTAGAAAGAAGAGAAAGTCCAAACCTCATAATGTTACTGATATCTAGTGACTGAATAATACAAATGATGAGTCAAAGACCAGTCAGACACCACCAGAAACACCTTTCTCATTATCATAGATGTTATAAATAATCATGGGTTTCATTCACAACATGGGAAATAGATCATGTCAACAAATGTGTGAGAACTAAGAAAATAAGAAAAGAGAGGAATTAAAAAATGAAGCCACCATACATCGTTTTGATCCATTTAACTGGATGGAAATCAAAAATAAGATAGCATTGCTTGTTTGTGTGTATCTGTGTGTAGGGCCGTGTGCAGCAGGAGTGGTTGGGAACAAGATGCCTCGCTACTGTCTTTTCGGAGATACAGTCAACACTGCATCACGCATGGAGTCCACGGGCCTGCGTAAGAGACAACCAACATTTTGACACAGTCACAATATTGATGGTTTAGTTGTAGCTTCTGATCTTGAGAGAGCTGAGGGTTTAACCCTCATGATTCTCCCTCATGTCGTCTTTCCAGCTCTGAGAATTCATGTCAGCCAGTCTACCATCAACATTCTACAGAGGACGGACTGCAAGTTTGAGTATGAAAAAAGGGGGGAAACGTACCTTAAGGTTAGCTGGGTTTGCTTTGGCTGTGTGTGTGCTCATCAATCCAGGTGTTTACGTCAAACGTAAACCGTACAGATAGTGGCTACAACTCTCATTTCCTTTGTGTCTGTGACTGTTTGTACCTCACCCTCAGGGTAAAGGCAAAGAGATGACCTACTGGTTAACAGGAGTGACTGGGGGGAAATACAACCTGCCCACACCACCAACAGCGTGAGTAAAACACTGTCTCTTATAAATAACTCCATGCTGAAGAGATACACTCAATCCCAACATTTCCTTTCAGCTACAAAACAACAGTGAGCGTATTAGAAATGTGGGAAACAATTCATTATAATTCAATGCACATGAATGTATTCATGATCAGCATTTGATCTAGCAAAAAGTCATGCAATTATTACCCAACCTAATAAAGCAGAAGCTTAAATTGTTCAAGCTTGACAGGGCTTTGGCACTTGTAGCATATCAACATCATTTCACATTTGCATCCATAGTCCAAAATAATCCTCACGTTACAGGGAGAACTTCCAGCGGCTCCAGCAGGACCTGTCCGAGATGATAGTGTCCAGTCTGGAGAACCGTGGAGTTGGAAGTGAGGGCTTTAAAAACAGGAAGACCCTGTCCACCAAAGCCCGCCGGAGAGAGACCAACAGCAGCCTGCAGGGGAACGGCCCACCAGAGTACTTCCACCTGGCTGTCACTGACAACCCCAGCACCTACCTGTGATGAGAGGAGCTTTCCGTACAATAATGGCCAAGAAGTAGACGTCATAGACGTACGTCATAGCCTGAACCGGTCTGAGTCAGCACTGCTGGGTTTGTCAGGGTGACAGCGGAGCGGCCGTGGGACAAGCATGCGTGTTGAAAGCGAGACTTGTGTGTTGATGTAATGATAAATGGTCCAGCAACAGAGTCTCAGTTGTGTCTTTACCCTTTAACGCTTTCCCCACTCAACACCCATCCCTCTGACACAAAATTAACGTTTATCAGTCAATTTTTTGCTAAAAGGAAAAATCCACCCTCAGATTTTTTTATATATCATTCAAGATGTACGTTGAGTTTTGTTGTGGTGGAATAGGCGGTATAAATAAGCCTCCTCCTCTTTTATTGGGTGGAACTGACACATTTCAACACAACATTCTTGAGATAAAATCACTGTAGCTGTGTACTCTACATCATTACATTTGCACTGTTACTCATGGGAATAAGAAAGGAACAAACTGGCCCCAAGAGTAGCAACACATAGGCTCTGCCACAGTGTTTATTTTGATACTGTCACTTGGGGGCGCCAAAGTTTTACACTTTTACCCATATAATGGCTATAAAAACTGTTTTGGGTGGATTTTTCTTATATGATTTTTGAAATACAAACAGCATGGGTTCATGCCTTTTTGTAATTTGCAACACACAACCATCACCTTCTCCTGCCTTGTGGACAATGATAAGTCACAGATAGTTATTGTCACAACTACATGGATTGTAGTGTGGGAGTCCTCCTTTTAGAACTATTAAAAACCCAGCTTTCTCCAAATGGAATCCAATAATGATATTGAATGTACTCTTCTTGACTTTACTTTGAACAGTTCTCCGTTAATGTTTAGATGTTGCCTGCAGGAAGCTTATTGATTGAGAAACTTTGACAAAATTATTTACCATGTAAATACCCTTTCCTGCTTTAAAGACTATTTCCAAACTGTACTTGTCATAATATAGCGGAGATCTGAGAATATTTCTCTTTCGCACCACAACAATGCTACCTTGTCTTCAGAACATCAGAAATATCTGTAATGATTTTGATCTTGTGTTTTATTAAATGATGTTTGAAATATTGCACAAGATCAGAGCAGTTTTTTTGTTTTGTTTTTTAACAACTTTGCAATAAAGTACAATAAACTATAAACAGTCTTACATGGTATAATTGGACACCAATCTACAAGAATACACTTGTATTTCTTCAAGCGTTGCAGTGGAATCAAACAACAGTAGTAGAAAATGATTTCAAAACACAAAAGAAAGAAAAGTTAGAGGTAGAAAAGAAAAATATCCAAAATTTGGATTTAACGAAAATTCCCCACACTGAGCAGAGTACACGCAGTGGCAAAAGCCCTACACAGTTTTAGTTGTAACTAAGACAGTGCCACCCAGCTCTGTGGCAGGAAGTGGGATCCTGTGTCCCCTTGTTGTGCTGCTTGTAGGCAGCCCTCTAAACCCCTCTGTCCCAGCATGCTTTGCGGGGTCACTGCTCGCGGTAAAGCCCTCCTCCCACTTATTGCCTGTTTGGGCCCCGAGGTGCAGGTGAGAACAGGGTGAAGGGGTCCATGCTGCTATCTGCAACATCTCTGCCTGGCCGTTTCTTTCTGAAGGCGGTGGTTGGCTTTTGGCAGGTGGCTCTGTTTTCTGGAGAGGCTCCTGTTGCAGTCCTGCTTCCTCTGCAACACAGACAACTGAAACATGAGCATGTCACTGAATACGTGAATGTCACTGAATATCCAGACTGAATTGAATATATTGTGTGATACGATCTCCCTCAATACATGTGTGGACTGAAATTGAGCACTGATTACCTCACAGAATTGCAGATACCATTTACTTTTAGTCAAGAGAACAATTTTATATACTGTGGCAAAGAGAGAAAAGGAAGCCTGATGGCCCCGTAACACAGAAAACACTATGGAATACGACCAAATGCCATGCAACCACACACCTCAAGTATAACAATGTAGTATACTATCCAGTATGGAAATCTGATTTTATGATCCACATATGTATTCGACTTTGCACTACATTCCTATATTTAGTCTACTAGTGTAAAAACACCTCTAAACATTACAAGCCAAGCATCAGTCTTCTGCATTACATCACGTGTGAAACAACAATGACGTGTTTCACAACAAGTGAATGGGCTAAGATGAATACCTCCACGCTGCTGATCTTATTTACATTCTTGGTTGTCCTGTGGATAAAGGTCTATTGACTCAATGAGGACAAAAGCATGCTATTGATAAAGTGAACCTAGTTACTCCTCAGTCCTGACGTTTTTTATTTTTTATTTTACTGGGTTAAGACTGCGCAGGAGATGCATTCCAGAGGATGAAAACAGTTTTATCAATGAAGCACAAAAGTTATAAGAGCTATTCAAAGGAGTTTCCTTTTATAGAAGCAGGCTGAGCACATGGCTGTCACAGTTATTTTATATGTAAGAGTTTTAATAAGCATTATTTACAGAGCTAATGCACACAGACATTAGCAGCTTTCAAATATCTGGCTTTATGGACACAATATGATGTCTCTCTGTCCACCAGGCTGCACTCTTTCATAACATTGGTATATGTGACTGAGTGAAAGCTATTCTGCTGTTTTTGCCTCTCCGCATGTCTTTGTTATCAGCATATGTGTTGGTGTGAGACCCAATGTGTCCTGCCTAACCAAAGGATGTGTGTTGAAACCAGAATAGCTGCTGAGTGAGCAGGGCTGACCCATGGGACGCCTGAGAAGAGAACAGAAACTGTGGGGTTTCTACTGTGTGATGAACGTCACACTTCACCACCTGCCTGCCTGCAACCCCACTTCCTCCACACACTGCTCATGGTCTACTTCATGGACTACAGATGCTCGCTCTGCATGTTATATACGAAGACTTGACAAACGGCTCTGATAAAATACGTCATTAAGGAGGATTTAACCCAGGATATGAGTGATCAATTATTATCTCTGAAAATTGTATTTCTGGGGCTTAAATTATACACTTCTTTGCCTGATAAATGTTTGTAGCTGATAAGACAATTCATTCTATTTCAGCAGCTGCTTCTACAAGGAGGACCAGTTTAGTTGTCTAAACGTCAATACTGACATTTATATTTTCAAAAGTAAAGTCACAGATTTTTGAGGCAATAAAAAAGAATAAAGAATGCTGAAGAAATAGTCTTTTCAGCTTCTGAGGATCCTGGGATATGTTGGCCTTCAATTGAAGAATTAATTCACGAAGAATAAGATAAAATAAATCCTATGAGTCATCAATGCCATTTATCTTTACCTGAGGTGCTGATGTGCCTGGTCTGTTGTTTGTATATGATAAACCAGAGAGATAGAGCCAAGATGGACCCCAGTGTGGCCAGCACTACAAATATCCACAGAGCCGGACTCAGCAACATCACTGAGTGGGCTGTGGGGGCCGTAGATCTCAGCTGGACCACAGTAGCCAGAGACCGCTCTGAGGGGAAGAGACTGATCAACTACCTCAACATTAAAAATAGTTCACATTTTCAACAGCCGTACAACCCAAGTTATTATTTAGGATACGAGCACACACTGGGATTTATCAGCATTGATTGTTTCTGTAGTTCTTAAAGGAGCAGGACTGCAGAAAAAAAACACCTAAAATGTTTATTTAAGATCAACGGAGGTATCTTATCGTAAAGCGGGAGCTCTGTGCCTTCCCTGTTTTTTACTAATCAGTGCATATATTCAGGAGCTGCACACAGGTGTATTCACTTGATTGCTTTGCGTTACGGTCAAGTTGAAAACAACACATCACTAAAATTTGCGATGGCCAGGAAGAATTATGATCAAATCAAGTGACCGAGAGATGTCAGGTCAAACTAGAGTACATCTAAAAAGAGATATTTTGAGACTAGAATATGACAAAGCAACTCTGCTCAGAAGGTAAATCTAGAAATCTAGAGGATTTCTTCAGAAGGGAAAAAAAAACAGACTTCGACGTCAGAGGCATTCAGTGAAACTCACCTGCTGATGGTCCTGGTTCAGGTCTGGTTTCGGACTCTTGGATACATGTGCTGACGAGACTGTCCCACCTTTTGCCAGCAGGACAGTCCTTCTTGGCCATGGCTGAAGCAGGGCGAGGAATGTGGAGACCGTCTGCTGTGTTACCCTCCTCTAAACTTGTGTGTGTGTGACACAAACTGAAAAAAGTAGCTGAAAACAGAACACTGTGAGACAGAGGAGGGGTGTGAAGGCAGCATTTATGAAATGAATGCAGAGTGCCTAACAGACGTTTCAGTTCCTCCATTTAAGAGGAAAGGGTGAATCACTACAGTGTCCCCGGGGGCAGACAGCGAGAGCTTACTGTGTCTCTGTTTCAAAAACAAAAAGGTCCTGACCTTCAAGCTCCTTAGTTTGGATAAATTATTGAGTGACGGGTAATAGTTAGTAGTAACAGGTTAGTAGTTTTAGAGCTCCTGTTTGATTGACTGCAACATTTCCATCTCTAATTCACATAAAGGCACAGGCCTACAACACATCTTCCTCTTCCATGTAATGCATGGAAGCCTATAGCCTAAATTATATGTGCAGATTTAACTTAGACGCCGTGAGATTTGCGGTCGACTTCTCTACTTCCACCATGCAGGTGAATAATTCAATAAATTGATGATTATTGGCGGTCCAACCCACTTAACATCGCACCATATACTTGATAGGTGAGATGATCAATAAACAAATGTAATAGCCTTAAATATAAACAGGTTTTCATAAACTATTGTATAAAATCCCCTGCTGGAGGATAACCAACATTACAGCAAGCCACTCTTATTCTGCCTTAGAGACCCTGTGCGCATGCACGCAGTTACAGACTTTCTCGTGTGTATATATACTGTAGTTAACTCCCCTCACTCGTCAGTCTGATCTTCAATATTTGTTATCAATAGCCTTTGTTACAACAGTGTGCGTCGGTGACAATGTAAGTCATCATGAATAATGTCTGACGTTATGTCCTCGTGGCGCTATGATACTAACAGTCAATGATGTCGTGTTAAGAAATTGAGATGGTAATTAGCAAGCTATTTGCTTAGCTCACGTGGTGCTTGACTCAGTCAATGAGAGGCTGTGTGGCCCAGTGTATGTGCAACAATTTGTTATCTTTATGCAACTTCTTGGTTTCGACCTCACTCATACTGTCACCACAACCTTTACCTTGAATGCCATCCACATATCAATAAAGTCATGTGACGTGTCCGAGGGAGGCTTGGCTCACCGCCCATAAAAGCATCCAGGTGAAATGTGATTTTTCATGTGATCTAAACATTTCAAACTTGTACTGTTACATAATTACCAAAAGTATGTCCTCACCTGATTTCAAGACTTTGGCTACAACATTAGTGGGTGTATATATATGTATATATATATATATATATACATATATATATATATATGTATATATATATATATACATACACATACATATATATATATA